AATCGATTCCTGAGAAGTTCCTCCATTCCAAGCTGAGAGCTGAGGAGGACCCTGAATAGCACAGCCTGATTTCTGAGCTCCCCAGTGACGAGGGTGGGGCTAGGAAGGGAGTAAATAGGGAAGAGGAAAAGGGATCTAGGGAAGCAAAAGGAGTGCCCTGAGAAAGAGGAGACAAGTTTCGAGAAAGACGCTAGAAGAGGAGAGCCCAGCCTGCAGTTGTCCAGGGAGCATTAGGAACACGAGAAAAAGAACCTGGTGTTCCAGGAAAGGGCTTCTTCAGTGCAGAGGGCAAGCACTGCGGGATTGGGGCGTGGAGGGGGTCGGATTTCTGAAAAGAGTTGAGAAGTGGAATTGAGAAGAAGCGAGGGGGAAAGGAAAAGAAGACGCGCGGGTTTCCGTCTGCAGAGAAGACGCAGCGGAGAGAGCAGGGAAGCAGGGACCTGCTGGCCTTTGGGTTGAGAAGACTAAGATGAAAACGTCTACATTAGGGCCTGCGGTGAGAGGAAGGAGTAAAATGCAGCTATTCCAGAAAGGGAGAATGGGGTGTGTGTGTCTATGCCCCGAATCGGACAGGGTGCGCGGTGTACTCCAGCAGTGGGTCGCTTAGAGAAGGGGATTGTACACATTTTGTTCACCGACTAGTCCCTGGGCTGCACATCCCAGAGTTCCGACCCTGCTTCCCTCTCCCAGACCTGACCAAGCTCTCACCTGTGCCCCCCGCACCGGCTGTGCCACCTCCAGTCCCCGCCGGCGCTCCGGTTCCGGGCCCCCCGCCGTCGGCTGCACACACGGAGCCGAAAACCTCGTAGGCGGGCCGTGCGTGGAGGGATGTGGCCGTTGGCGCCGGCCAGCGCCAGGCCCTCGGCAGTGCCATAGAGCAGCTGAAGCTCGCGCGCCTCGTTCTCCTCCTGCGCCTGCTGCCTGCGCAGCGCCACCTGCGCCGCCATGACGCGCTGGCGCTCTGCGATGAGCGTACACTTGGCGCACAAGCAGTCCTTCCAGCGGCAGTAGCGCTTGTGGCCCTTGAGCGCCGACACCACGCCGTGGTTGCGGCAGCGCGCGCACTTGGGGGTCCGTGGGGACTTCTCCGCCGCCCGCAACAACAGTGGCGGG